TTGTTTTGAGTTTGGACTTCCTGCATCAAAGTAGTAAGTAATTGAAAAATCTTATCATTATCACTTGAATTACCTGCATTGCTTTGGGCAGGTTGTGCTTGGGCTTGTGGTGGTGCCAATGGCTTTTGATAGAAACCCGGGGGTTGTTGCCTAAATCCGCTTTGTTGTTGGCCTTGTTGGGGGTCTCGCCATTTGAAATTCGGATGATCATGCCAACCGGGATTGTAAGTATTGGAAAACGGATCACCACGTGATTGGTATTGGTTGCCATATCCCACGGCATTGAGTGTCTCCCACCCTCCATTCTCGATCAATTGTGGGCACTTGTCCGTATGGTGGTTTTGCATGGAGCATACGCCACAAGAAGCTACGGTTTTGACTTTTGGACTTTCCACCACCTGAGAAAGCAACGTAGTAAGGTTAGCCATTTGATTTTGAAGTTCGGTTATGGCACTTACCTCATTGACTTGATGTTGCCGTGGCATGCTCCTTTGTCCAACACCTTCGTATTGTTGAGCGTTCAACGCTCGATTAGCAATCAACATCTTTGCAGCCGTAGGGGTCTTGTCCACCAATGCTCCTCCCGCTGAGGCATCTAGCATTTGACGTTCAATTGGTAGAAGTCCCTCGTAGAAGTATTGTAGAAGTAGTTCCTCCTTCATTTGATGCTGTGGACATGAAGCAACAAGAGATTTAAAACATTCATAATAAGTAGGAAAGGATTCACCTTCATCTTGTTGAATGCCACTTATCCTTTTACGTAGGAGGATGACTCGAGAAGTTGGGAAAAACTTCTCCAAGAAAGCTCGTTTCATGTTCTCCCATGATGTGACAGTTCCGGGAGCCAATTCGTACAACCAATCTTTCGCCTTCTCTAGGAGAGAAAAGGGAAAGGCCTTCATCTTCAAGATGCTCTCATCCACGTTCACCGGAGTCATGCTTGAGCAAACGACTTCAAACTCCTTCAAGTGCTTGTTCGGATCTTCCATGGACAACCCATGGTACTTCGGAATGTGATGTAACAAGCTTGACTTCAATTCGAACTCGGCAGTTTTGTCCGGAGCCGCCCTAGGGTATTGGATACATAGAGGTGCGGAATTATCCAATCCCGAAGCGGAAAGCTCCTTGATCGTTTGGTTGTCCGCTGCTATGTCTTCCACTTCCTCTTCAAATTCAGAAACGGACTCGGAACTTGCACTTGATTCACTTGATTCCGGGTTCTTCCTCTTTCGTCTCAACTCACGCTCAAAATCGTCGTTAAAGTCTAAAATATGTTCGTGAACCGGATTAGAACTCGGAGTCATAAACAAGTACCTAAAACAAGAAATAAAATAACATAAGAATCTAATCTAATAAGAAAAATGAAAATAACAATCCAAGGGATTAGCAAAGTTGCTAATCCCCGGCAACGGCGCCAAAATTTGATATGATATTAACTAGCACTCAAATTAACCCTCTTTTTATCAATTGTAGTAAGTATGTAAGTAGGGATCGTTCTAGGCCGGGGATTAGGAGGGATTGCTAAATCACTTGAAAACTGACTCAAATACGTAAAAACAAGTTAAAACACTAAACTAGACTCAAAGAATGCACAACTAAACTTTAAAACACTAAAACAAACCAAAAGACTCAAAATAGCAAATAAACACTCAAAACTGTCTTAAAAACACTTTATGGGCAGTTTTGAACACTAAGGAAGAATTTGGACGAAAATTGGTTTTAACTTGACTCAAGACACTTAAAAACACAAACTAAATTGATTTCTAACTAATATGACACTTGAAAATAAAGGGGGATTGATTTTTACGAAATTGAAAACAAAATATAAACTTGTAAATCAAAATAGATTTTAAAACGAATTTGGTTTAAATGAATGGATGGAAAGCTAGCTAAGGGGTTCATCTCCACACATGTCACACTTGCATATAAAACGATTTCCAATTGCTTTTCAATAAACCATGAATTCTCAACGCCCCAAGTTAATTAGGTCCGCTTAAATTAACCTTCAGATTTTCCTAACGTTATTGAATTGGATGATTGCATACGACAACCCAAAGCATTCCCCACAAGTCCCCTACATGATTGCATAATAGAGATACAAGCAAGAATCATTAAGTTCTATGAAAACCATAAGCATTGACGAAGCACTTGTTACTATGATTGCATGAAACTTATGCCAAGAATTTACTTAACGCGATTGAGATCATCAACCTTTACTACTTGTGAATATAATTCTATAACGATTAGGTGAAATTTCCTTATATCCTAGCATTCAATTTATGCATGATAATTAAGCGTGCACTCTCAACCAACATACACAAATCAATGTAATTCACATAGATAAGTAAATTGAATTCACAACTTATGAAACGCAATTAGAAGTAATCAATTCATATTGCAAGCATAAACATGTATTTCGAATCCCCCCCTAGCCAAGGGGGGCTTTAGTTCCTCATACTCGCAAAGCAAAGATACATAAATTTAGAAATTAAAATCCAAAGAAAGAAAACACCTAGAACGCTCCAACTTGGCAGCAAGCGCATCCAAGAATTCTCCTTCCTCCTTGCTACGGTAGAGAAGTTTAGAACAGGTTTTTGGGGTTATTTGTGGTGTAGAATGGATGGGGAATGGTATGAAAAGGTTTAGGGTTGATGGTTGGTGCGGCTAGGGTTGTTTTTTGGGTAGGAATTATGGTGAATGGTGATGGAAAGCTGCGGCAAAGGAGAGGGCAGATTTCTGGCGTGAATTATTGTGTAGGAGAGGTGGTGATCTGATCTAGGGGTTATAATGAGTATATATAGGCATCCAAAACCCTAGGGTAATCAGATTAGGGTTTCTAGAAGCCCAAATCCACCAGAAATTAGGTTAAAACAATCAGATTTTTAGTGGGAATAAGGCCTAAGGTGCGGCTAGGGTTAGGGTTTAGAGATGGGCCTTCTAGAATGCCTTGCAAGGCAAGGAAATCAGATATTCTAGAGGCCTAGGTGCGGCTAGGGTTAGGGTCCACAAGGAATTAGGGTTTAGGTCATCTAAAAGCCCAAAGCCAAGAATAGAAACTCTCGAAAATGGAAACCTCCAAGAATAGAAACTTCCAACTTTAGAAACTTTGGTTTCCAAATCTGAATTCTTTGTTCTTCACTTTCATTTCTTCATTTCTTAAGATCCTTTGACCTTCAAACTCGTCCATTCCTTGTGCTCCATTAGCATACACTCCATTCTAGCTCAATTTTGCTCTAAAATGCTCCATTTTGCACTTCTTTGCATACTTCGTCTCTAAACCTGAAATTGCACGAAAATGACTTTAAACACTAAAATAACTAAAGAAAAACAACATAAATGCTTAAGAACAAGCCAACTAAGTCGCATAAATATGCTCCTATCAATATGTGATGAGCTAGCATATGTGATGAAATATGTGATGAGCTAGCATATGTGATGAGATATATGATGAGCTATGGATAAGTCGTACAGGTCACTATCGGTCACTCAGACTTATGAGCTAGCATATGTGATGAAATATGTGATATGTGATGAGCTAGCATATGTGATGAGATATGGATGCAGTCGTACAGGTCACCATAGGTGACTTCGACTTGCATGCTAGTATGGGTTATAAATCACATGATTATTGATATTGCTGATGAGATGCTATGTTGTGGTATATTTAGGATTTTTCTGGAAACTATACATGTGTCGTAGCGAGGGGTTATAATGTTTTATATGGTTTCTATTCAAATTTTATTTCTAGGGCAACTAACCCTTGTTTTGTTTCCACCCTCCAGGTTTTATTAACTGAGCTTTCTTATCATCGAAGATTTGTGGAAATTCTTAGTATTGGAGATTCTTCCGAGGATACGATTCTTAATTCACTCTACGGTACTTACTTATGCTCTAATGTCATGTGTGAAGTGGGTTCATTCCCGCTCACCAGCGCACTTTGGCATTAGGCACTTTTAGGTTTAAATTTATTCACATTTTTTCCACATCATCACATTGTATGGCTTCGTCACCTCCCAGGTGTTGGCCAGCGCAGCTCGATTCGGAGTCCTAGTGGACATTCCGGGTCGGGGTGTGTTAGTTGAGTCTTTGTTGGTATTACTGCATCTCTTTTATTATTATCATTTATGTGGTAGGAGAGGGACTTCAATAAAAAAAACCTAAAATACATAAGATTTGAGTTTATAACAATTAGGGACCAAGGACTGCAACTAAACTATCTCATTTTTGAATGTCTAACAGCTCACCAAATATATATTGAATTTTTTTTCAACTTATTAGTTATGAGCAAAATGAAGTTGATGTGAAACCTGGGTCACCTGGCACAAACCTATCATAAATTTGTTATCATATAGGCATATGCTGGATTTAATTCATTCCCAAACTCCCCGGGTTTATGCATACGCACGAAAGAGTTATGTCTTCTATTCCGACTGTCTTCAAAATCTTGTCCAACTCAATTTTGTTACTTGATGCATCTCCTCCGTAAACTCTACACGGAATTTATAATTCCCGTTTGTCCAAGTCAGTTCTTTTGGTTCCATGAATCCTCATTTTGTACCAATTCTTTTCTCTAAAAAAGATCATCAAAGTAAATAAATAAATAAACTATGAGCATGTAATTGCTAGTTAATACTTGAATGTCTTCATTAGTTCAGTAAGATGCTTTCAGTGATTTAAAGTACGGGTTTAGGTGCGAGGACTAATTTTCTTGTGGCTAATCTGAATTCAAATTTGAGAGCGGCCTTGGGTGGAGATTTTATGACAATACTTTTATATATTATTTAATATTGTTTTGTGTTTTGTTTGATTCCATTTAATTTGATGATTAAAAATTAACAAAACTGTTTAAAGATAAAAATGCGTGTAGTTGTGATTTCTTATTTTTATTTTATTTTTTCTTCTTGAAGTCACAATTACAGCTAGCGATAGCGATGGTCCTACGTACTTCAATTCCATTATTAAACAAAATAAAGCATCTGAGTAATTGAGGCAAAGAAAATGTTGAGAAACAGCAAAACACTCCCAAAAAACCAAAACTATAAATTAAAAAAATAAATAAATGAAAAAAAATAAAAAATCGCTGTGTTTTGCAGATCACTCCTTCCCCATCCATGGATTCCGATTCTTTCCCTCGCTTTCGGCTCTAGCTTCGGTTCACATCGTCTCCAATTCAGCAAGATCCCCTCTGTAAATCCCCTCCCCCCCCCTCTCTCTCTCTCTCTCTCTCTCTCTCTCTCTCTCTGTATCTATGGATTCTGGAAGTCTGACTTTTTCTGTTGGTTTGATCAACTTTAGGTGATTGATCGGCAATGGCGTCGAAGCGGGGGCTATCGAATGCGGGCGCCCACAGGAACCGAGCCTCTGGATCTCGATTCCCTCTTGCGATTCTTATTTTCTTTGCGCTTCTTGTCCCCTTGATTTTCTTCGTCGGCCGTGGCCTCCACATCTCCGGTCAGTGCTTAATTTATTATTTCCATTTCTGTTGAAAAATGTATGTGTGTGTATATATATTATATGTATGGGTATGTAACTAATTCTGTGCAATTGAAGTTTAGGTTTGCATTAGAATTTAGTTCTCAATTAGATCCTTTTCGGCTTTCCAATTTAGTATAATTTACCTCTCTTGCTTGCAATTGCTGTTTTCGTTGCTTCAGAAAAATCAGAAAACAGCTAAATCGATGCCATATTGGGGCAATTTCCGCTTTGAAAACAAGATTGTTGCTTCACTTTTCAAGTGTTCGTGTTGCGATGCTGGTACTTTTCGGGTCCAGAAGAATGCTGCATTTGTTTCAGACATTTCAAGTATTTTTGTTGTTGAATCTAATGCTTCATGTTGCTCCTTGTGCTTTGAAAACTTGGAATTTACCTTTGTGTTGTTACCTTGGCCTCCAAGCTTTAAGCATATTACGGTGATAGATTTAACTTGATTAGGATTTATAATCATTGTGGTTATTAGTATCATCCTTCAATGAAAAATGAAAATATACAATTTTTATACAACAGTTATGGTCACACCTTGTACTGTATACTGGGCTGTATACCTGTCTAGCTGACTATTCAAAGAATTGCTGAGTTTTTTCTTCTTCATGATGCTGACATCTGGATTCAAAATGCATTGTAAGGGTCTACCGCATATTATGTAATAAAGAAGATGAGCATTGTGTGATGCATACCATTTTCAGTTCAGCAAATGATAACTTTACCATGTCTGTTTTACGCTGACTGGCAGACTAATATACTTTCTCTTTAGCTTTACAAGAGGCTAACATAGTTGAGTCACATACTTGGAAGCGTGATGAAAGAATGCTTAATATTCATATGGCTTGTTTGGTATTTATGCAACTTTAACAAAACCTCTTCCCTTGACAGAAAAAAAAAAAAAAAAAAAAAGCCTCTTCCTAATTTCATTTTGTATTATAGACTGTTTGTTCTTGGATATTGGAAAACGAAATAGCATTTTGAGACTTTATGTGCTACTGTTACATGCATAGAAGAAATAGCGAACAGATGCCCTATATAGACAAGAATATGTTTATTTTTCTCAGAAAAAAGTAGACAATGAAAGATTTTATCTTTTGTTGCTCATACGGTTCAGTTTGTGAAGTAATTAGTTTGTTAAGACTACGTCTTGATGAAAATAATATTCTGTTAATTGTGAAGGTTTTTTTCAAAGTGGTAAAATGGAAGAAGTGCCACTGGGCTGTCTTTTGAAGTTATTGTCTCTTGATAAATAGACTGACAAGAAGTCAGAGGACATAAATCTTGAAAATTACTTATGAATCTTATAACCTATACGAGTGTCTAAGAAGAGAGCTATATATCCCTCTCTGTCACAAGTCTTACAACACATTGCTCATGTTTTGTGATGCTTCCCATCATTGCCTCAGATATATTTGTTTTCTAAATTCTTCAATCGATTGATACGAAGTAATACCAAAGAAGGAGAGTTGGATATGTATAAACTTGCTAGAGCAAGGGAAAAGAAGACAAGGGACCTAAACCAAGTGAGGTGCATCAAGGATGAGGATGGAAAGGTTCTTGCTACAGAGAACGCGGTCAAAGACAGATTGAGAGGTTATTTTCATAATCTTTTCAATGAAGGACATGAAAGGAGTACTTCTTTAGGGGAGTTGAGTAACTTAGAAGAGTGTAGAAACTATTCCTTTTATCGTCGAATCAGGAAGGAAGAAGTGGTTGTAGCTTTGAAGAAGATGAAGCATAGAAAAGCAGTGGGCCTAGATGATATATCGATCGAAGTGTGGAAAGTCTTGGGAGAGACAGGTATAGCATGGCTCACTGACCTTTTCAATAGGATTTTAAAAACGAAGAAGATGCCAAATGAGTGGCGAAATAGCACTTTGGTGCCTATCTACAAGAATAAGGGCGACGTACAAAATTGTATGAACTATAGGGGTATTAAGCTAATGAGTCATACAATGAAGCTCTGGGAGAGAGTCATTGAGCATAGATTGAGGCAAGAGACACGGGTTTCGGACAACCAATTCGGGTTCATGCCAGGGCGCTCAATCATGGAGGCAATCTATCTCTTACAAAGATTGATGGAAAGATATAGAGAGGGGAAAAAGGATTTACACATGGTCTTTATAGATTTGGAAAAAGCGTATAATAGGGTCCCAAGAGACATTCTCTGGAGGATTTTGGAGAAGAAAGGAGTACGAGTAGCCTATATCCAAGCTATAAAGGATATGTATGAAGGAGCAAAGACTGCTGTAAGAACTCATGAAGGACAAACCAAAAGCTTCCCCATATAAGTAGGATTACATCAAGGCTCATCCTTAAGCCCTTATCTTTTTGCGTTGGTAATGGATGAGTTAACAGGACATATTCAAGATGATATTCCTTGGTGTATGCTTTTCGCAGACGATATAGTATTGATAGATGAAACTCAGGAAGGGGTAAATGTGAAGCTTAACCTTTGGAGAGAAATGTTGGAATCTAAAGGTCTTCGCCTAAGCTGATCAAAGACAATATATGGAGTGCAAGTTCAGTGCAAATGGAGGCCAAAATGAGCTAGGGGTGAGGATTGGAGATCAGGAAATACCAAAGAGCAACTGCTTTAGCTACCTAGGATCTATCTTGCAAAAGAATGGAGAATTAGATGGAGATCTCAACCATAGAATACAAGCTGGATGGATGAAGTGGAAGAGTGCATCCGGCGTGTTGTGTGACCGCCGTATGCCATTGAAGCTCAAGGGAAAATTTTATAGGATGACAATAAGGCTGGCGATGCTGCGCACAGAATGTTGGGCGGTGAAGCATCAACACGTACACAAAATGGGTGTAACGGAGATGAGGATGCTTCGTTGGATGTGTGGGCACATGAGAAAGGATAAGATTAGGAATGAGGATATCCGAGGGAAAGTAGGAGTAGCCGAAATTGTAGGAAAGCTGAGAGAAAATTGGTTACGGTGGTTTGGACATGTGCAAAGAAGGCCTACTGACGCTCCGGTTAGAAGATGCGAATACGGGATAGAGGTTTAGGGCCGAAGGGGTAGAGGAAGACCTAGGAAAACTTTGGAAGAGACTCTAAGAAAAGACTTAGAGTACTTGGATCTAACGGAGGACATGACACAGGACTGAGCACAATGGCGTTCTAAGATTCATATAGCCGATCCCACTCAGTGACTTGGATTTTTCAAGTCTCCAACCGAGAAGTTTTCCTCAAATTAAGGGAATACTACCTCAACCTATATGCTTCACTCACAAAGCTTCAACATACAAGCTTCAACAAAAGAAAAATTCAAAGAATTTAGTGAAAAAGGCTTTGATGTATTTAACATAATACGTTGAAATGAAGTAAAGGCTTTGGTGTATTTAACACAATACGTTGAAATGAAGCAAAACTTATTTATTGATATCTCCGATAAGTTACAATATGTACATATACATGAGTCAAAATAAACAAACAAGAGGGAGCCTTCATAAAGGTTGCTTAGGAGAAGTCTCAGCAGTCGGTAGAGCCACAGAAAGAGAAGGCACCGGAGGGTGATCACTCGGAGCCTCAGTACTGGACAGAACCCTAGAAGGAAGAGGCATCAGAGGCTGATCATTTGGAGCTTCATTACGCGGTACAGCCCCAGAAGACGAAGGCAATAAATGCCTTTGGAACAAGCCCACAAACCTCTGATGATCAAGTAAAATATGACCATCAAATTCCTTCACCTGGTCAAGCTTCCTCTTCATGTTTGTAGCATAGTCATGTGCGAGCCTGTGCAACTGTTCATTCTCATGCTCGAGCCCTCTAATCTCCTGCTTGAGACTCATCACTTCAGTCGCCAATGATTCAACTTGGCGGGTTCGAGCAAATAGGCGTTGGGCCATATTCGACACAGAACCTGCACATTGAACACTGAGAGCCAGAGAATCCTTAACAACCAACTCATCAGACCGTTTGGAAAGAAGTCTGTTATCTTTGGGAGAGAATGTTCCTGGCCACCACCGCAGCGGTCATATCATTCTTTATCATGGAATCCCCAACGGTAAGAGGACCAGTAGGGGATAAGAAGGATGGGCGCCATATGTTGTCTGGAGAAGGAGCGGCTGCCTCTTCACCAAGGTTCAAGTCAAAACGACAGTCGGAAGGGCCAGACATTTTCAAAGGTGCTGAAGAGAGAAGAGGTCGGACAAATCAAGATCTTAGAAGTGCAAGAAGGGAGCTTCTACTGGTGGAGATTCAAGTGTGCTTTGGAACTTAATGCCAGCCTCTATAAAAATCTGCACTCGACTGAGCTTTAGAAATTGAAGAGGCGCCTGCTCAGAAATCGAAGAGGCGTTTGCTTTCTCAAATGTTGGGCTGCTCAGAGACCACGAGAGCCGATCTCAAAGATCGAAGAGGCGTTTTCTTTCTCAAAAGCTGGGCTGCTCAAAAACCACGAGGGCCAATCTCAAAAATCGAAGAGGCGCTTGCTTTCTCAAAAGCTGGGCTGCTCAGAGACCACGAGGGCCGATCTCAGAAATCGAAGAGGCATCTGCTTTCTAAGCCTTGTCAGCACCTGTCACATGCACACTCAGCTTTGCGGAAATTACGGGCAATCTGTTGAAGATTTCTGGTGAAGTAGAAAGCACGTGAATCTTACTGTTCAATCATCCACTTTCCACACGCAACATCAGCTCATGGGTACCACAGATAACTTTGCCAAAGATCTCTGACAAAGTTTAGGCACGTGAAGCTTGCAGCTTCCACTACATCGCTATGACCAAGAAGGGTAAAAGAATAGCAAAGAAACAACACTAACAAAGTTTAGACACATAAATTTTGAAGGTTTAGCTACCATATTATTACCCACAAGGGTAAAGGAACAGCACCACTGCTGGATAATTGGAAAGTCCCTGTGTGTCAACCTCTGTGCTTCGTGGCAAGGTAGACTAGCAAAAATGCCCAACCTTTACTCACATTCGAGAAAACACTGCTAACAACATTGCTTGCTCCAAAATCGAAGAGGCATCGCCCTCCGAATCTCGAGAGCCAGACTCCCAACAGGATTACTTTCTCAAAAATCGAAGAGACACCGCTCTTCGAATTTCAAGAGCTAGACTCCCAGCAAGATTGCTTTCTCAAAAATCAAAGAGGCACCGTTCTCCGAATCTCGAGAGCCAGATCCCCGACAGGATCGCTTGTTCGAAAACTGAAGAGACATCGCTTTCTCAACTTCGAGAGCCAGATCTCCTTGGATAAAGCTTGTCTGTAATCTTCACGCGCAACATCAACTTTCTAGATACCACAGACCACTTTTTGAAAGTGCTCTGACAGAGTTAAAACACGTGAAGTTGGCAGTTCCCACTACAGTGCTATGACCAAGAAGGGTAAAGGAATAGCATTACTACTTGTTGTTAGGGAGACTCCTATATATGTCGACCTCCATCCTCAACGGACAGGCAGATCTGCAAAAATGCTCAACCCTTCCTCATATCTGAAAGGGCATTCCCAACGAAGCCTCTCGAAATACTCAGCTTTTTTTTCCCCTGATAATACCTTTGCAAACAAGCTACACCAGAGCAAGAATATCTCATATCATCAGGGTTAAAAGCAAGAGTATCCCATATCATGCTTTTTTCTTGTCTTTTCCTTTGGCCTTGTTCTTACCTGCAAGGCAAGGAGAAAGAGCAATCAGTCAGCACTTGGAATCAAGCTTCCAGTCAGGAACCCCTTACCTGATTACTTACCTGGCATTGCTCTCGAGTACTCATCTTCAACGTCTTATGCTTCCAGAGAAGATACCACATCTGCCTGAGGAACAGATAGGGCAAGTGAGAAGGATACAAGGAAGCATGTGGAGACAAGCGTAACAGAACACGTGCCGATACTTCCACTACTTTGTCAACAGCAAAAGTATCCCATATCAGCAGGGTCGAACGTACTCTAGATTTGATGGACTTGTTTTGACCCTCAAATTCTTCAGTCAGCCTTATACTCTGGAGGTAACCAGAAAATCCTCCAGCCTAGTTCAAGAATAAGCCTATGGAAAGTTACTTCTTCAAAAGCAAAAGTATCTCATATCATCTCTTCTCATTTTCTTCTCTTTATCCTTCATGCTATCTGCAAGATAAGGAGAATGAGAACAATCAGTCAGAACTCGAAATCAAACTTTTGATCTGGGACTGATTGCTTGGAGCTCTGATTGCTTACCTTGTTTGTCACCTCTTTCAGCAGATCCCCTAGCTCGGCGACTTGGGGGACTCCTACTACATGGTTTGTATCACGCTTGACCAAGCTTGAAACTACAAGTAAGCTTCAAGTGAAATTGATACATTACCTTGTGCATCTCCACTAGTTAAAGATACCACCCTTAGACGGAGGAAGAGTATTTCCAGAGAAGATGCCAAATCTACCTATGAGACAGATAAGGCAAGTGAAGACGATACCACACTTCGGTACTTAGAAGTTTCGTGATTACTCAATGGCTTGGATCTTGCAAGTCCCCAACCGAGGAGCTTCCCCTCCAACCAGGAGGCCAATTACAGAGCGACACGTGTCGACATCAGAAGCCAATCATAGCGCGACACATGTCAACATTGGAAGCCAATCACAACACGACACGTGTTAATGTCAGAACAAGGCTAGAAATTCTCTTCAATAAAAGTAGATCATTCTCCCAAAATATTTCCTAATACCATTTGTACTAAATCATTCACTTGTACCCACTAAAGGAGAGCTTGAACCTATGTACTTGTGTAAACCCTTCACAATTAATGAGAACTCCTTTACTCTGTGGACGTAGCCAATCGGGTGAACCACGTACATCTTGTGTTTGCTCTCCTATCTCTATCCTTTTACATACTTATCCACACTAATGACCGGAGCAATTTAGCGAAGGTCACAAACTTAATACTTTCTGTTTTACCAAAGTCCTCACTGATTTTGTACATCAACAATCCTTAAGTCCTTACCTTTTTGCATTGGTAATGGATGAGTTAACAGGACATATTCAAGATGTTATTTCTTGGTGTATGCTTTACGCAGACGATATAGGGTTGATAGATGAAACTTAGGAAGGGGTAAATGCGAAGCTTAACCTTTGGAGAGAAGTGTTGGAATCTAAAGGTCCTCGCCTAAGCCGATCAAAGACAATGGAATACAAGTGGGATGGATGAAGTGGAAGAGTGCATCCAGCGTGTTGTGTGATCGTCGTATGTCACTGAAGCTCAAGGGAAAATTTTATAGGACGGCAATAAGGTCGGCGATGCTGTATGGCACAGAATGTTGGGCGGTGAAGCATCAACATGTACACAAAATGGGTGTAGCGGAGATGAGGATGCTTCGTTGGAGGTGTGGGCTCACGAGAAAGGATAAGATTAGGAATGAGTAGGTTGGACATGTGCAAAGAAGGCCTACTGACGCTCCAGTTCGAAGATGTGACTACGGGACAGAGGTTCAGGGTTGAAGGGGTAGAGGAAGACGTAGAAAAACTTTGGAAGAGACCCTAAGAAAAGACTTAAGAGTACTTGGATCTAACGGAGGACATGACACAAAACCGAGCGCAATGGCGTTCTAGGATTCACATAGCCGACCCCACTTAGTGGGAAAAGGCTTTGTTGTTGTTGTTGTTGTGTTGTTGATTGATATGAAGTACTTTATCAGAGTTTGCGTGAACTTGGTTATTTTATACCTTATTGATCAACCCACAGGGGCTTATGATCCAATAAAAATCCTATGGAAAAGACGTCTGTTGATATCTTGTTTACTTCAATTCCTGTTCGAATCTTGAAACTTTTACTAATGTCAAACCCTAAAAGAAAAAATGATTTTGCCAATTGCTGCTTTTTATGGCCCAGCTTTGTTCGTTACTTTCTGACTTTATTATGGGTACGAAACACTTGTGTTTACCAGCTGTAGTATAACTGTTTTTTATTGCAAATTTTGCAGATCATAGTGACATCTCATCTAGTCCTGGTGAAAAGGTATTTTTCATACTTCCATCAATTCAGCTGGATATCTTACGTAGTGTATAATAGTTTGTTTTGGAAAACAAAATACGTTTTGAGAACAAAAAGCTGGTGCAGAATCTGGATTGGAGACAAGGGCTGGCACTGCAACATGTGAAATCTCTTTTCTCAAAAGAGGCAAGTGCAACTTTAATGAATCTATGAGTTATCCACATGTAATTCCTATAAGTGGCAGCGGTTTTTCTGTTATGTTGACTTTTGTTGCTAACAAGCACACTGATTGGATCAACATATCAGGTCATTGATGTAATTTCAGCCAGCACGAATGACATGGGGCCTTTGAGCCTTGATTTCTTTAGGAAAAACAATTTGTCGGCTTCATGGAAGGTCATTGGAGCAAATAATTCAGTTGTTACAGATTCTCAGGTCAGTATGCCTTGTATGCTTCTTGAATTTTTTCATTCTTGATATCTTTTGTTCTCTGCTGCAAAGTTATAATTGTTTGTTGCTGCTGATTCTTTGTGTTTTGATTTGTCTGTGAAGATAAATTTGACTGCTGTAGATGCCAGACAAGAGACACCTAGGGTTAAAGTGGATGATTCTTCAGGTGGTAATAACTTTCTAGTAGTACTTTCTTTTGTCTGTAATACATTTCTACTTGCTTTTTTGACTTTGTATTGTTTGCAGATGATCACGCTCAACCACTTGATCCTGCAAAACTAGCCAGAAGGGTAATGATCATACTTCATTGTGCTATATTTTTGCCACGGTCATATGTTTCTTGACTTTAATTGTTTATTTCACTTTTTCCAACTAATAGAATCAAAATGAAATAAACTTAAATCATGGTTCTGTCTACTTAAGTTTTATTAGTTCTGTAACTGTTTATCATTTTTTTTGAGGTTCTAATATTTTCTTTTATAAACACTTCTGCAGCAACTAAGAGAGAAGAGACGTGAAAAGCGTGCAAATGAGTTGATACAATGGGATGACGAATCAGTTGTAAGGCTTGAAACTGCAGCCATTGAGCGGTCCAAATCAGTTGATTCTGCAGTTCTAGGAAAATACAGTATTTGGAGGAAAGAAAATGAGAACGAGAACTCTGATTCAACGGTGCGCTTGATACGGGACCAAATCATAATGGCAAGGGTCTACTTGAGTATTGCAAAGATGAAGAACAAGCTTGATCTGTTCCAACAACTACAAACTCGACTCAAAGAATCCCAGCGTGCAGTGGGAGAGGCAACTGCTGATGCGGATTTATCTCAAAGGTAATGTGATTATGGACATGTAATGTTTGTGAGCACATAGTAAATATTACCACCTCTTCCTTTGATCTGTACTGGTAATTATGACAGTTACTTATTCCACACCTGAATTGCTTGTAGTGCACCGGAGAAAATAAAAGCTATGGGCCAAGTTCTTTCAAAAGCAAGAGAGCAACTGTATGATTGCAACCTGGTCACTGGGAAGCTGAGAGCAATGCTTCAGACTGCAGATGAACAAGTTCGGAGCTTGAAAAAGCAGAGCACATTTCTTAGTCAGTTAGCTGCCAAGACCATCCCAAATGGAATCCACTGCTTATCTATGCGCCTAACCATAGATTATTACCTCCTCCCCCTTGAGAAGAGAAAGTTCCCTAGAAGTGAGAACTTGGAAAATCCAAATCTTTATCATTATGCTCTCTTCTCGGACAACGTCTTGGCTGCATCAGTCGTCGTCAACTCTACCGTCATAAATGCCAAGGTGAGCTGAACTGTTATTCTATGCTGGTAGTTTCATTGTGCGTATCTTTGTGTCTGTTTCCAAAGGAACTGAAAAACTGTCACAAACGCCAAGGTGACTCTGTTGATGAATGTCAAAGTCCAAGGCATCTCAACTTCTATGAGGTGCCATTTCTGGTATATGAGGCTTAATAATAAAAGATCTCATCACCTGGTTTTCTTAAGGTACAAACACTAATTATTATCCGTATACCCTGCTTCTTTAATATTCTAGGTGTGGCAATCAGATGAAGTGATTAGAAGATGTTTGATCATAAGCTTGCTATGTTTATCTTTTCTAACTGGACTGCCTCTTTCAGGTACCTCATTCATAGGAAGTTGAATGTTAGTTAACAAACAAAAAAAATAAATAACAATATTCAAAAGTTGACCGTATCCTATTTGACATATATCCCATCTGTAGTCCTTCGTAATGTCTGTTACTGAAGTCAGATGCAAGTTTCTTGTTTAACTAATGTGTGTTTCTTGGTGATTTTAGGATCCGTCAAAACACGTATTCCATCTTGTTACCGATAAGCTTAACTTTGGAGCCATGAACATGTGGTTTTTATTGAATCCTCCTGGAAAAGCCACTATTCATGTTGAAAATGTTGACGAGTTTAAGTGGCTAAACTCATCGTACTGCCCGGTTCTGCGCCAGCTTGAGTCTGCTGCAATGAAAAACTATTATTTCAAGGCCGACCATACTACCACTCTCTCATCTGGTGCTTCTAATCTGAAGTACAGGAACCCGAAGTATCTCTCGATGCTTAATCATTTGAGGTTCTATCTTCCACAGGTTTATCCCAAGTTGGATAAGATCTTGTTTCTTGATGATGACATTGTTGTCCAGAAAGACTTAACTGGATTGTGGGCAGTTGATCTACACGGAAAAGTAAATGGTGCAGTAGAAACCTGTGGTGAGAGCTTCCACCGGTTTGACAAGTACCTAAATTTCTCAAATCCTCATATTGCAAGAAACTTTGATCCAAACGCATGTGGATGGGCATATGGGATGAACATGTTTGATCTTAAGGAGTGGAAGAAGAAAGATATTACTGGTATCTATCACAAGTGGCAGAACATGGTGAGTGTCAGGAATCTTACGTATTTCATTGCTGCTGTATGTTCTGTTCTTTTGCATAGATTTGTGTATGAGCTCAGCCACAAGGCCATCACTCTTGGCACTGGCTTTTTTCCTTCCTATGAATATTGCCATCTGATATAATTGTTTTCCTTTTTTTTTTTTTTTTTTTGGGTCTTAGAATGAAGACAGGACACTTTGGAAACTTGGAACATTACCTCCGGGGCTAATTACATTTTATGGGCTGACACATCCACTACAGAAGTCATGGCATGTACTTGGTTTAGGTTACAACCCAAGTCTTGATCGAGTTGAGATTGACAACGCAGCTGTTGTGCATTATAATGGCAACATGAAACCATGGCTGGAGTTGGCGATGACTAAGTATCGAGGATACTGGACCAAGTACATTAAGTTTGATCATCCCTATCTTCGCAGCTGCAAGCTAAGTGAATGAACCTGATAAAATGGGGATTTATGTAAAAACTGGAAAGGTTCTCTCAATCTCTCTCTTGTTCCTTGGTATCTTCATCTGACAAGCCACTTAGGTTATGTATGGTTCGTTGGGCAGAGGTATTCGCTATTTTCTTGTTACCATAATCCACATTGTTTATTCTTCTTTGTAATTCGTTCAATTTTGTTCCATCATTGCTCACCCATTGTGACAAGGGTAGCAACAAATTATTTACCGTGATGACCTGTATAACTAAACACCTTATTTGCTTCAGAGCTAAGATGTCGGGACGTGATTAGAATTAAATTTCTAAGATGCTGTATTCTTTGAACAACATTCTCGCGTAGGTAGTGTAATGTGCAAGGGACATGATATATTATGCTTAGATGCCCTCTTTCTTGATGCAATGCATGTGAGAAATGCTCTGATGGCTATTCGTTTGTTTTACTTCACAATTTTGGTGTTTTAGAAATTCCGGACATGTAACTTGTTGAGGAAAATTGGTTGAAAACCGTATCTTGCCTTGTAATTTGCTTTGCATCTTCAACAAAAGAGTATTTGGGAGGATGTTAGTGACCGTTTCTTTCATGTGTGTTGGGCTATCTGGGCTATCCCTTTGTATTACGCTGTATATGATTCTGCAGTAGCTATCTCGTTTGAAAAGAAAAGTTGGCTGAACTTATAGCTGACGTGATTAAGAACATCTATTCTGGTACATAAGGTTCTAGGTTCGACTCTTCCGTTTATTATTATCACTTGCATAAGAGAAAATGTTAGTGATATGGTTAAGAGTTGAGATTAAAACATTCAAAATACAAATTTTTAGTCTACACCCTTGATATCAAATCAAAAGTAAGTGATCATGCATTCATTGATCGCCAGGTGGCTAAGGAAAGTTGGAATTTCATTACTAGGGCTAAGCCAAGATAATGAAAATAGATAGATGGTCCGTAATGTTTTTACCGAATTCGTCCATCTGCTTTTATACAATTCGATGACTATACAATCTAGTATTTATTGATTTTGCAGGGATGATCTTTACAAAGTGATTTATAATATGAACGGTTCCGATCATAAGTATGAAGTTTCTTAAATCGACCACATAGTGAATTGAGGAGAAACTTCTCATCCATTGAGGAGCCAAGTTAATTCCTTTATTATAACACTAATGAAAAAAAATGTGGCATTGGGCATCAAGTTGTACTAAACTTGCCTGTGAGAAAGTTTGAATATCATTAATGTTACTATTTAGTACAACGAGTTTTAACATCTCAATAGTTGGAGCTTTCTCACTCAGCACTGTATTCATGTTCTGATAGACGATTGGATTGCATTCCTAAACACGGATAAGCTGTCATTGGTCATCTGCTTTGGAGTTTAAAATATTTTCTTTTCTCTTTCTTTCCTAATAAAACGATATTGGGGGTAGAAGGTTCCGTCAAGCCACAAAATGACTCAATGATAATAATTTGATATTGAATTTGCCATTTATGAGCGAGTCGAACCTAAAACCTTTAAGGATTCTAAAATCTTTAAGCTAAACAAGTATGTGGAAGATATACAATTGCAAATGGGTATGAAGTAGGCCTATGAATTATGGTAGTGGAAGATATTGTATTGCTTGGCACATGCTCGGATTGATTTAGATTTCAGATCAATTTTTTGAGTAGATTTTCCACAGCAAATGCAAGATCAATTTGATGAATCATGTGATTTATGTACTTCCCCAAGATGTGTTGGAGAATTGTAAGAACCTCACTGCTAACCACTGCCTAGGCGCTAGGCGGGCGACCGCCCCGATTAATCCCTAGAGATTTGAAAAATTAAGAAAGGGCACCTAGACCTGCTTAGGCGCCCACCTAACCCGTGACTCTCAATTCGATAAAAAGTAGATAACTTTCATTTTGTATTAAGGTCTAATACTTTATAATCTATATGCCATTCTATTTTGCAATTAATGTATCCTAGTGCAATTAGGTGTGTTTAAGTATAAGCTGACACTTATTTATACAATATATAATAAATTTATCTAAATCCGCCTAGACCCCCCCACTTGGCCGCCTAGGCACTGTCCCTAGTCCATCGCCCGACTAGCGCCTAGTGTCTTTTAGAACCTTGTTGCTAACTAATGGATTTTTAAGATAAGTTCAAACGTTCAAACATTCAAACAGACACTGATAGTAAATTGATTTATGAAAGACTTGATAGAGTTGTAGCAAACTGTTGGTGGCTATATGATCATTCGGATTACTGCTTACACAACTACCCAATTTTTTGGTCAGCCCATAGCCCTTTTTTTTGGCTTCTGATGGCTTAAAGAAGAGTAAGGGTACTGTTTCCTTTAAGTTTGGAGCAATGTGGCTTCTACATCCAAATTTTAAAGATTATGTGAAGTCTTCTTGGAACTTTAAGTATTTGGTCATGGGTTGGAACAAATCAACCTTTGGCATATTAAAGAGCGCAAAAATAATTTGTTAAACGAGCTTAGCGAGTTAAAGAAAAGGACTACGGTAAACAATAATGTATATCTTCAAGAGGAAATAAAGATTAGAGATGAGTTGTCTCAGGTTTTAAGAGATGAGGAAGTGACGTCGGCTCAAAAAGCTAGAGCTAATTGGTTACATTTGGTGGATAAAAATACAAAGCTTTTTTTTCGAACTAGTACTACAATAAGAAGGAAGAGAAATGAAATTGTTAAGGCTAGGGATGGGAATGGTTTGTGGTGGTATTGTGGGGAGGGTCTTGAATAGGTTTTTGTGCAAGATTTTAAACTGCGTTTCTCCCGTGCTAACCCTAGCTCCTTGTCAAGATGAGATGGCTGCCCTTGTGATATAATCCAACCTTGTATAAATGAGGGACTTAATACTATGTTACTTAAGCAAGTGACTGGTGAGGAAGTTTGGCATGTTTTTAATAGTATTGGAGCTTTGAAAGCTCCTGGTCCTGATGGGCTACATGCTAGTTTTTACAAAGGCTGTTGGGAAATAGTTAAGGAGTTAGTTTTTAACCTAGTCAAGGATTTCTTTGAAAACAACTCTAGTTTTAGATTTATTTATTTATTTTTGGACAAGTCTAGTTTGAGATTGATAAATCATACAAATATAGCTCTCTTTCCTAAAGTGAAAATATTGCTTGGTGTTTATAAAGTCTCTACAAGCTATATAACATCGACTCATATTTCAATTAACCATAAATATCAGGATGTGATATCAAAGATCCAAACTGTTCATCTTCCAGAAGATCATGTTTTCAAAAAAGAAAATTTTAAAAATGAAATTCAATATAAAAAATAAAGCCTAAACGACAATCAACGGTTAAATACAAATTTAAGGTTTATGTATTATAGTGTCGGATTTCGAAGTTGACACTACAAGTGATTGTATATATATATTTTTTTACATTTCTTACACTTCTACAATAATTATTATTAATTTTATTACTTTTACAATGAAATAAAAAACACTATTCATTATGGTTTGGAGGGTTTTAATCTAAACTATAATGTAAGTGTAACCATTGTCTACTTGTGGAGGAATGATGAATCACGAGTGTTTATATATTCTTTCACATTTTTCATACTTGTAGGGATGTCTTATTGCCTATACTAATACTATACTAGTTGATTTTAATTTTGGACAACATGTTAAGTAAAATTTATCCTATTAATGATAATAAGAAACTCTCATAATAAAAATAAATAAATGTAATAAAACTGAATTTTTTTTAACTTATATAGAATATACCAATTAATACAATGTGACAACCCGTCCCAAATTTTACATTTCTATTAATTTTAAAAGCATGATTTTACAAAAATACCCTTAGAAGCGGGGGTATTGACTTTCGTTGATCAACGTATAGCGAGGTGTATGAATTAATCATTTAGCGTTTTCCTGAAGTACTCAACATTACGGAACTGTAAACTTGAGAAGTACTTTTGTTTCAGTCACTAATTATATTTTTATATATTTTATAATGTTGATATTATTTATTAATTAATTATTTTAAAGAGGAAGAGGAAGAAGATGAAGGAAAAAAGGAAAAAGAAAGAGAGAAGGGCTACTGCCCAATCAGGAAGAAGATGAAGAAAGGGTGAACGAATAGGGAAATGAGAGAGGAGTATGTGACCAACCAGAGAAGGGGGAAGGAGAGAAAGGAGGGAGGAGGAAAAGGAGAGGAACGGGCCCGATTTTCCCTTGACCCGTGCGGTGACCCGGTTTCCCTAGGGGTTTCCGTCGGTTTTCCATCCAAATTCCGGCTTTCTTCTGTGATGACCCATCCCTAATTTTCCTATGTAATTTCTCCCCGAGTATGTGTTTTGACGACTATGCCTTACTGGCAAGTGACGTGGACTTATTCTTATCGCTTTCCATTTTATTTCTCGCTATCGCATTTAAATTGTACACGCTAGTACGAGTAGACGTAGATTTTAAAGTGTAAAAATATCTACTTCGGATAGATTTCGATTTCTTTTTACTGTAGGAAATATAGAAATCTATCCGTTGGATTCCTTTTAAACTCATCCCGTGCACTCTTTGCATCACTCCACTTTCAGCCATCCTATCCCATCTTTTCCTTATATTCTGTCCCCCTCTATCAGAAAAAGCAAAGCAAATTTCAAAAACCTCACTCTCTCCCTCTTCTCCCTCTCCCACGCCACATTTTTCTTCTTCTTCCTCTGCAACTCCATGAGCAAGCTCCAAAGCTTGTAGATCGAACAAACAAACTACATCATCATGCTCATCTCAGTCCCAAGATCACGACCATACCCCTGGTTCGCGTGTTGACCGAGTTTAACGTCCAACTCAGAAGGTCCGACTCGGCGAGTTCGATACTACGGTTTTCAAGCCATGCATGGCTAAGGTAAGCCTTAAGAAACCCTTAGAACCTTCATTTCACTTCTAGATTGTTATTGATCCTTTGTTTGTGTTTTGAACGTGTGGTTTTACCCATAAACTTGAGAAGAAGGAGAACCCGAAGTTTTTCGTACAAGAACCGTGGCCATTTAGTCATTTTCAAACCATTTTTCTGGTCAACCTCGACCACAACTGGACTTCTTCTAGGTACAAACTTGTTCTCTACATTCCTAACTTCAAAATGGCTTTTGAATCACTGAGTTTGGTTAAATAACGAGTTAGAAATCAACTCTGGAAGTTGGGAAGAAAATTTTAGTTTTCTGGAAAATTTCAACCGTGGTCGTTTGACCACTTTCAGACCAAATTTCTGATCAACACGGACTATATTCGAACTTTATGTAAATTTGGATCGGTAGATCACATTCCTAGCTTTAATTGCTTTTGTAGAAGTGAATTTGGTTGAGAATCGAGCTCGTTATGGGCTCTGGAAGTTGACCCAAAAATCTGTAAAACTGCAGATTTTCGCGAAGAAGGCGAGTACAGTGTACTCG